CCCCAAAACCCCAAAACCCCAAAACCCCAAAACCCCAAACTGTCTTTATAATATAGAAATGAGCGGCAAGAAGACAGAAAATGGTAAATATCATAAGCTATTTTATTTAGGAAAAATTCGTTCCAAGGAGAGCATTCTTGGCGGGGTCTGGGTGGTATTTATATCTTCTCTACCAATCGCATTGGCAGCATTAGGAAATGCATTTAAACCAACCATTACAATTATGGCAGTTAACCAAGACAAGAAAGATGAAGCATCTTTGGCTGCCATTGGTCTTGGTACAACGATCTTGAATTGAGTGATAAGGACCTTGATTCTTGGATACAACCACTCGACGACAACTTTGATTTCCCAAGCTTACGGAGCCAAAGATTATGGTGAAGTTAAAAGACTGCTTTCAAAGATCCGAACAGTTTATTCTCTTGGACTCATCCCCTTCTTCGTCATTGTCTTCTTTGCGGGGTCTTTCTTGAAGATAATAGGACAACCTGTAAAGCTCTCTGAAGATACAGAGTTCTTCATAAGACTCGCCTGTCTTTCGTTTATTGGCCAGCTTCATTACGACATCAACAGAAGATATCTTAATGCAGTAGGAATGAGAAAGATTCAAATGCCGATTCCATACATCACCCTGGTCCTTCACGGAGTCTGGTGCTTTATCTTTTTGAACAAGCTAGAATGGAAGGCAGAAGGCGCAGCTGCGGTCCAGTTCCTGCAGTTTTTCGGGAATTTTGGCATTAGTGAGTACATCATCTCGAAATATGCAAGTGATTCCGGTGATGGAAAAGAGGACAAGCACACAAGCCCAGACTGTACATCTTTTGTTTTACTTTATAGTGACAATCTCAGAAGGAATAGACATGATTATGCACGGGATCCCATCTGCTTTATACGAAATAATCTCTAGAATATCAAATGAAGCGCCAACCTTTGTGGCTGGATTCATTGCTGTCGAGTTAGTGATGGTTAACTCAGCCTTTGTTAACCTTTTCTGGCTATTCTTTTGTATTGCTTTAGGAATTCAAATAACATCTGGCTCAATCATAGGAAATAAAATAGGGGAAGGAGACAAAGAAGGAGCTAAAAGAGCTATTAGGTCAACAATCTTACTAGCTGCCATTTTTGGTATATTCACTGTAGTTACTTTGTTTACTTTCAGAGACTTTTTATTGGCTAAATATGCAAAAAGCGAGCATGCAATTGATACAATGAACTACATCCTCCCATCGTTCGCTGCTGTTCTGTTCGTTTCGATCATGAAAGATATTCTCTTTGGGATCTTGATAGGTATTGGGGCTCAGAATGAGACTACTAAAATGAATATTACTATCAACTTCTTTGTGTGGGCTATCATAATGTATACTCTCACATTCTATAAGGGATATTATTATCATGGTCCTTGGATAAGTCTCTTCATTGTTGGCTTAATTTCATCAGTCCTCCTTTACAGAATCATTCACAATACCGACTTTGACAAACTAATTAGCAAAGTTAGTGAAGATAAACAGAAAAAGACAATGTAATTTCTATACTTGGTTTCATGAAATAAAAGGATAAAGCTTAAGATTTTGATAAAAAAATTGTCAATTTTTAAAATACGATACTATATCGAATACACTCACAATAAATTAGGTTTAACTCCAAAATTTTAAACAAAGAAATAAAATCTTTTTTCAATATAGCGAAAGCATAAAGGGGTTTTGGGGTTTTGGGGTTTTGGGGTTTTGGGG